GTGAATGCTGGTGCAATATATATGTTACCGGCCGGCCAAACCCGATCTTAGGACAAACTAGTTTTTCCTAGGCTAAACTATTTCCAGCTAGATCCAATATATCCTTCCAATGCGGAAATAAGTTGGATGAGGGTTATTTTTATATTTTTAAGTGCGGCCGAAGGCCTTCTACGCGGGAAGGTGTTCTTGCGCAAAAATACTGTGGCCCTTGATCTGGTTTAGCCTAGGCAAAACAGTTTATCCCAAGATCGGGTTTGGTCGGCAACACGTATACAAGATAATAGAAAGTAATCGAATAATTTGCAATTGCAGCACTGGAGCCGCAGTCGTTGGACATATGGTGGCCGGTTTCACATACGCAAGAGTGGAAAACAAATTTACTGTGACTAGCGAACCGCGCATAACTCTGCAAGCCGATATCGATTTCTACTCCGGCGTAAAATTATGTATGAAACTGCAACGGCCGGATTTATTGCTAAAGTGAGCTACGAAGAATATTAAATACATGTTTAAATAACTCATTATTTCTTACTTGCAGCCAATCAAACATTAAATCAGTTTATTTGACACCGAACTCCTATTATAAACACATTCGCACGAAAACCACACATAAACTTGCAGGCCGTACATTGGCTTTGAACCAGAAGAATAATGAAATGTGCAATCTTATCTTCAGTGATGATATTTAAAATTTTTGGCGTGAGTTCTATTTAGTAAAGTGCATACCGTTTAATACTCACTGCTCTCTATCCTTATATTATTAATAATAGCAGGAATCTCATATAAAAACTATGACATACATAAATGGCCTTAATAAGCCTTAAGCTATGACATACATCAATGACCTTAATATTTGACTTTAAAAAGAAAGTGTTTTGTATATTGTGTAAATTAGTGCATTTATAATGACAATAAATAAATAAAGAAAATATTTTTATTATCATAAAAATTTAACTATTTATTCACCCTAAATTTGCACGAAATTTGTTATTTCAATTTAAAAGTGTGGTAAGAAAATGCTCCCCCGTATACCGCTATTTGATGAAAAACTACAATTTAAAACAACTAGTTTTTAAGCGAAAATAAAACCGACTTCAATGCTCATATCAAAATTCCTGCAAATGATCTCATAATCCGATGCCAACAGGAGGAAAATACCCCTGATTTTGGTGGAATTTTAATTCCTCGGGAGGGGGAGGGGAATCGCTTTGAATTTTGGGGGAATTCAATATACCAACTATTTATTTATTTATTTATTTATTTAATTAGATAATTTTAGATAATTCCTATTGAGAATAAAATTACAACTTGTAATAACAATCTCTCATGTAACCCTGTGGATATTAAAGATATTGCAACCGTGCATAGCGACTCCTTTCACTTGACGTTTATATATTCCCAGGACCGGCGGTTCCACTTACCGGAATGACTCGAGTTTTACCTGACCAAGGGCTGTTGTTTCGGTGACCTAGATAGATAGATATTGGTTGGGTATGGCACTGCGACCAGTAGGTCTATTGTGCCCCTAGCTCATCACAACACATCAACCAGCCCCAGAGTGTCTATAAATTTCATAATAGACCCCGGGGACAGTGAGTGTATGTGCTCCTCTCTTGGCCAGACGTGCCCTATGCTCCTATACCTCCTGCGCGCAACAGCCTCATACTCCATAAGGTGTAGAGGAGTCTCCTTGGCTGCATCGCAAAAGCGACACAGGTCGCTGGACCAGATACCTAGTTTATGCAGGTGCCCTCTGAGCCTACAGTGGCAGTGAGAAGCCTGTATCTTGACAGATTGTAGCCTCCTAATAAGCTTTTTGCCTTACGTTGGCCCATGGTGCCAAGCCAGTGCAGTTTCCTCAGTTTGCTGTTGTCCCTTCGGAGCATTTCCTTTATGGTGTTGGGTCCTACTGCCTGAAAGAGCTCAGGTCCTATCGGGGTCGGGGAAGCAGCCGTTCCGGCCAGATGATCAGCTTCCTCATTTCCTGCAACCCCCATGTGCACTGGTACCCTCATTAGTTGGATATCATTGACCTCCGCCAGAGCATTCAGCCTCTCGACACACTTCCAAACCAAGGAGGACTTGATCTCGAATGATTAGAGGGCCCTAAGTGCCGCCTGGCTATCACTTAGTACAATTATCCTTTCATTCCTATAGTTCCTGCGAATGTTAATCTCAGCGCATATACTGATGGCATAGACCTCCGCTTGAAAGATGCTATGGAGAGTTCCCAGGGGCACCGAAAGCTTCAGCCTAGGGTCGTACACGCCTGCTCCAGTCCCCGTGGGTGTTTTAGAGCCGTCAGTATACCACTGTATTGCGCCCGCCTGTATGTGACTCTCCATAATAGAGGTACACCAGGTCGCCTTGTTATAAGTGTGGGTCCTGAAATTTCTCTTGAAGACCACCTCTCTGTTAATATCGTTCCTGGGGAACAAAGCCAGGGGGAGCTGGGAACTTAGCTTGTCCCTGTTCCTAGATGATAGCACCTTACCTTCGCTCGAGTTCCAGCATTACCTCCAGCGCTGCCGTCGGGCATGTGCGCATTGCTCCCGTAATGCAAACACATGCCAGACGTTGAATCTTGGAGAGGGTCCCATAGTAGTCCTTGAATACCAAGCCACCGGACCATAAGTCACTATTGGTTTCACTATCATGGTGTACATCCATCTGAGGATCCTCGGAGTGCACCCCCAGGATTTACCCGCTAGACGTTTGCACACCATCATCGCTCTCGTGGCCTTAGAGGTGACCGCATCAACATGGGCCCTCCACAGAAGCTTGGAGTGGCGACACTGATTACGACCCCGTCCAAGGTCAAGTTCCTCATCCCCTGGAGATTTCGTTTCTTGGTGAAGGGGACTATGGCTGTCTTAGAAGGGTTGATATTTAAACATACGTCTGCGCACCACCTTTTTGCAAGGTTAAGTCCTCTTTGGACGATGTCACAGAGAGTACTTGCGAACTCCACTCTAGCGATAATCACTATGTCGTCCGCGTACCCTTGGCAACGGACGCCCTCGTTAGTAAGTTTCTGTAGGAGTTCGTCCACAACTAAGCTCCACAGTAGAGGAGATAATACCCCCCTTGTGGGCACCCTTTCGTCGTTTGTATTTGAACGACGCTATCGCCGACTTCGGTTTCGGCAATCCTGGTCTGAAGTAACCTTGCTATCCGTCTTCGGATGGTTGGTTGAACTTTTTGTTTCCTAAGAGCTCTGTCGACTCCCAAATGGGAGGCGTTATCGAGGCCCCCTCGATATCGAGGAAGGCACAGAGCACACCCTCATCACGCTCAAAGATCCCTTGTATTTCCTCCGTTAGGGCATACAGCGCAGTATCCGTGGATCTCCCCACCCTGTACGCGTGCTGGTTGGAATGCAGAGGGGTTTGTTTTAGAGTGTTAAACCTGATTTCATGGTCAACAATTTTCTCCCTTGCCCCTAACATATAGGATGTGAGACTTATCGGCCTGAATGACTTGGCAAGAGAGTAATCCCTCTTACCTACCTTCGGGATAAAGATAACCCTGGCCCTCTGCCCACACCTTGGGAATGTGAGCCAGTGCTAGACTGTCCCTCATAATGTCCACAAGATGTGGTAGTAAGAGCTCCCCGCCCTGCTTCAGCTGCGCCGAACATACACCATCCACCCCAGGGGTCTTCTACCGTTCGAAAGAGTTCAGAGCCCACCGCACTGTTTGCCGGTTTATAAGGCTTTTAGCCAACTTCCAGTCTGGTGGGGATGGCCTGAACGCACGGAACAACGTATCCCCGGCGGTGGGAATGGCGTCCGGAAAGTGGGCCGACAGCAGGGCGAGTGCCGTTTCCTGTTCAGTACCTGAAAAAGCCCCATTAGGTAGCCTAATAGCCAGCCTGCTCCCTGTGTTGTCTCTTGCTAAAGCTTTATGCAGCCTAGCAGCTGCAGGAGTAGATGACTCAATCACCGCGTCTTTTTCGTTTTCTTTGTTTGTTTTCATTCTTAGGCAGATGTCAAAAACGCTCAGAAATATACTTTTTTCTTACTTCTTTGATTAGGTGATCTTGTATTTTTGGTTCATGCAATTATACTGCTCGTCAAAATGACAGTTGGCCATCGGTGTTTGCATGTGGAGTTTTGCGGTAGATTTTCCCCATGTATTTTGTTTGTGTAAATTATTTTGGTATCGCTTTACCGGTTACCCAATTATCGTGGTGAAAGATTGATAATATTTCCCGTAGTTGGTAAACTGCAATCAGCTGTACGATATTCATCCAACTTTGAATCCGCCCGCTGCCGAAAGGCATAACGCATTTGAGTAAATAAAATTCCTTCAATCTTTTGTTACAATTTACTTTTTTGTGTACGAAAAAAGCTACGAATCAGCTTTCTTTCAGGAATTCTGACCTTGTAGGGTTTGTAGAAGGATAACTCGGGATTACCCAGGAATGGCTTTAAATAGACAAAGGAGGAATGCCTGCAATGACAGACATGAAATACCCCTACCAGTTTTGTCAGGACAGTCCATATTTCTCAACACTGTCCCTGAAAGCTGAAAGTGAACCGGTTTGGGTCTTTTTCGATTTTTAGGCGATTTTTAGTTGAAAGCAACAATCGCCTGGTGTAAACAGCCTTTC